GCAGGGTGCCACATTCCTCGATGCGGCCTTGCGCCCTATGATCGACCCGAAACTCGAACCCTAAGCAATCCGGACGCCCTTTTCCACCTTCTGGCTTCCCACCACGACATATTTGACATCGACAGCAGTCCACTCGGTCAGACTTCTCTCGTGAAGCAACGCATTAATACTTGTGATTCTCTATACCGTTCACCGCCGACCCATACCGGGTGTCTGCCACAGAGCGTAAGGTAATTAAAGAAGTCAACAAGATGCTAGCCAAAGGAATTATTGAACCCTCCTCGAGCCCTTGGGCATTTCCTGTTGTGATCGTTAGAAAGAAAGATGACACGTGGCGCGTCTGAGTCGATTACCGCCATCTTAATCGAATCACGAAAAAGGACGTTTATCCTTTGCCCTGAATTGATGACGCCCTCGATTGTCTTCATGGCGCGCGGTACTTTTCTTCAATCGACCTACGTTCTGGCTATAGTCAGATTGCGGTGGACGAGAAAGACCAAGAAAAGATTGCGTTTGTAACTTTCGATGGCCTATACCAATTCAATGTGATGCCGTTTGGGCTATGCAACGCCTGAGCCACGTTTGAGCGTATGGTGGACTCACTATTACAAGGGTTCAAGTGGTCAACATGCCTGTGCTACCTGGATGATGTCTTTGTATATCGTCTACATTTCAGACACACCTCCAGCGTTTCACAGCGGTTCTCGACATCTTCCGCACTGCTGGCCTTCAACAAAAGTCGAAACGTCACTTCGGCCGCCAGCAGATTATGGTGTTGGGCCACCTTGTCGACGCATCAGGTGTGCAGCCTGACCCGGAGAAAATTCGTGCCGTCACGAGCTTTCCTGTACCCCAGTCTGTCAAGGACGTCCGGAGCTTTGTGGGACTTTGTTCCTACTTTAGAAGGTTCGTGAAAGATTTTGCAACGATCGCTCGACCACTCACCGACCTTCTGAAAAAATACGTGACCTTTACGTGGGGTTCCGCCCAAGCTGCCGCTTTTTCTCACCTCATCACCCTTCACACGACTCCACCTGTATTGGCCCACTTTGACCCGACCGCTTTGATAGAAGTCCGAACCGATGCGAGTGGTCACGGGATTGGAGCCGTCCTATCCCAACGCCAGCGGGGACACGACTGAGTTATCGCCTACGCTAGCCGCCTAGTCACAGCTGCCGAGCGCAACTATTCAATAACAGAGCGCGAATGTATTGCCCTTGTTCGGGCAGTCACGAAGTTCTGCCCATATTTATATGGCACGAATTTTTCTGTAATAATGGACCACCATGCGATATGTTGGCTTTCGTCACTGAAGGATCCTACTGGCCGGCCCCGGCGCTGGGCTCTGCGACTGCAAGAGTAATACCTACACGGTCACGTACAAGTCCGGACGCCTATATCAGGACGCAGACTTCCTGTCCCGCTACCTGGTTGCTGAGTCCAGCACTGACACCGACACCGAGCCTTGCGTCTTTTCCCTTTCGCAAATGACGTGCATCGGTGACGAGCAGCGCCATGATGCGTCCTTGCGTGCTATCATTGAGCTCCTCAAATCACCATCTTCCCATCAGTCCCATCGCTCATTCGTGCTCCACGATGGTGTATTACACCGCCAAAGTTTTCAGCCGGATGGACCGGCCCTGCTGCTTGTCATTCCGAAACATCTTCGCTCGGAAGTGCTGCATGAACTTAATGACCTTCCGACTGCTGGTCACCTTGGTATGTCACGCGCTTACGACCGAATACGCTGACGCTTCTTTTGGTCAGGGCTTGCGCGCTCAGTCAGAAGATACATTGCAGCTTGTGAGAAATGCCAGCACCCCAAAACACCATCGACACTTCCCGCCGAATGCCTTCAACCACTTGACATTCCATCAGAACCGTTTTTCCGCGTTGGCTTGGACCTACTTGGCCCTTTCCCCTTGTCTTCCTCGGGTAACAAGTGGATAGCCATGGCCACCGACTACGCCACGCGCTATGCCATCACACGAGCTCTTCCAACAAGCTGCGCCACAGATGTCGCCGAATTCCTCCTCAAGGACGTGATTTTGCAACACGGAGCCCCACGGCAGCTGCTTACAGACCGTGGCCGCACCTTTTTGTCGAAGGTCATAGCCGACATCTTGCAGTCCGGTAAAACGGGACATAAGCTGACCACGTCATACCACCCACAAACCAATGGACTCGCGGATCGTCTAAATTGAACTCTTACAGACATGCTCGCTAAGTATGTTTCTACCAACCACAGCGACTGCAATCTCGCGTTGCCGTACGCCACATTTGCCTACAAATCTTCTCGCCATGACACTGCCGCTTACTCTCCATTTTTTTGTTGTTTGACCGAGAACCTACATTACCCCTAGATACAGTCATTCCGTCTACCGCGACACCGACCAGCGAATATGCCCTTGACGCTATCACTCGGGCTGCTCACGCACGCGAAATCGCCCGCACTCGCTTTCTGGCCTCTCAAGAGAACCAGCGGTGTTTGTACGATCAACGGTACCGTGACGTGCACTTCTTACCCGGTTCATTGGTGCTGCTGTGGTCCCCGACCCGTCAAGTCGGCTTGTCGGAAAAACTTCTTTACCGCTACACAGGTCCATATCGAGTCCTTCGTGAAGTTACTCCTGTGACATACGAAATTGCCCCTGCTGCCTCATGGCCTTCAACTGCCCCACAGACCACCGATATTGTACATGTGGCACGCTTGACGCCTCACCACTCTCCCGCTGACGTTGACACCTAGATGCGCCGAGACGACGCTTATGCAGCCGGGGATTATGTATGCTACATGCATGTTGACATTTTGTGGGATGATGCGCGTGCGTGCCTGACGAAGAGGACGGAGAGTGGTCTCCGCTCGGTGTCTGGTCTACACCGAGCGGTGTCTGGTCGCAGTACTCCCGTCCTGGCCTCAAACAGTAGATAACTACCCCGGGTATCATCATAGATCATTTCCTTGGCAATTTCCTGCTTAAAAGTTCGATAGATCTCTAGTGCGGACTTCTTAATCATGCCCATTTTCCACATGTCAGTCTTTGTTTCCTTCACTTTCTTCTTAACCGATAGTTCTTTTTGGTTTGGCCACCTGCTGTTTTCTAAGTATTTACCAGTCAATTTCCTGGTTCGCTTCCTCCATTTTGTATCGACATTCTTCATGTACAAGTAGTATGAGGCAGATTTTACGCCACCCTTCTAGATGACTGAAAGAGTGCCCCGCTGCCTAGGTAATGTATAGAACTGATTTAGCGCCCCCATCCAAGGTGGCCAGCCCCCTTCGCACCCCTCGTGTGGACGCCTATGGGTAGGACTTTCGGAGAAGCTATTTGCATTTGTAGGCGCCTTTGAAAACGCTTTATAAAAGTGCTTTAACTACAACGAGCTTCACAGTGACAGCTTGGAAAAGCTTGTTTCCTGCTTGGAAAAAAATATATATGTCACACTGGGCTGCACACAACATTGCCCGAGCCTCACCAATCTAGTAAACAAGTTTTTTCTGCTCACCAATTTGCGCTTTTACACAAAGGTACTCCACAAAAAGCGAACATTTTCCCGTGAAAAGAGGAAGTACCTGAAGCTCAGGCGCATCACCTAGGCTTGCAGCCCAATGTTCTGTGGGGCGCTTAGGAACTGATAAACTTTTTTTCTTGGCGATATAAAGGGACGTGCAACAAATTATTAAGAATGCATTTTTGTAAGCAGATAGTGAGTCACTACTCGTAAATGTGTTCTATCAGCTGTGTGCAGAAATTAAAGGAATTCATTCAGACACCACTCGTGGTTCTCGGCTCGTGATTATGAATGACGTTTTGATTGATGGGGCTTTATTTACATATTAGTGTTTGAGAAAATGATGGTTCGCCGTGAAAAGTGTCCCAAGTAATGACTCACAACTGAGTTCGTCATTCCACTCTTCTACCACTTACTTCTCATCGATAAATTGTTTCAGTACCGTTACGCGCTCACTTACGGCATCCTGTCGACCTGACGATATTTCAGATCAGTCGTGCAACCGCGTAGGCATCCTGTTTTCCAGAAGCTAATTACCATATTTTCTCGGTCGCCATTTGAGTCGATTTACGAGCAAAGAAAACATTTCAAATGTTTCACGCTGCCCGCGCGCGTGGTTGATTGCCGTCTATACGCATCGCCGCTATAAGTGACGTGCAAACGTGTGCCAGCGCCATCTGGCGGTCTCCTCCCAGGGCATTACGCGCTAGCCAGTGCGTTCATCACACTTCTCTATTCTAGCCACTGTAATGCGACAAACCTTTGTAACTACACTCGCTCTGGACAGATTTCTAAAATTTTGATGGCGTTGAATTTGTGAGGCAATAAGCTCTCCAGGTGAATTCATTCCATTGTTATTTGAAAGAATGTTCAGGGCCCCTGTAACCCATTTTGTTCGACAGGCGTCACGACGAAAACGAGCCCATTCGGCGATAACAGCGCGCGCTGGTCCAATCTACTGTGTGCGTGTTTGCGTGTGTACGTGCGTATGTAACAAAGCATATGGATAGGAATGTACTTAGCGGTAGAAGGGTGCACTAGGGGCCGAATTTCACTATCGCGTTGAACTCTTAAAGGCGAAGCTTAAGGGTCCCCTAATTTTTCTGTAGCACGTGCAGGATTACGTACGGCGTCCTTGATGCATGGTCAATCAGCCGACACCACCAGCTTTCGCACTGCGGCAAGAAATGAGGTAGCGCAAATTAAGCAGTTCCTATCGTTTGGGAAAGTACTTTGGTCCGGTATACGTCCATTCGACGATCAAGAGTTCAGGCGGTGAAAGCGGCATGGGGCGTTCGTCCGCGCGTATCTTACCTATGCGAGTTCACCGATTGATCATTCTCCCGCAGTCATCTTGGATTGCACGGTGTGCCACCTAACAGCTCGTGGACATTGTGAATAACTGGCAACTATGATAAGGGAAACTGGCTACTCTGGTAGCCGGACAGGTCGGACTGAGTATAGAAAGGTCTTGTGGCGTGCTGCAGGGTCTCATCTTGGCCTTGACTGGGGTGTCACTGTTGGACCTGGTGGAGATCTACGGTTCCGACATATCGAGCGTGTCTCACCTCATTACCACCCGATGCGTCGGCGGCCTGCTGGGATCCCTGCTAGGTGCGTCGCTCTTCTTCTGTGAATACGGGTGTGGTGCTTAACATGTAATTATCAGATGAGACTTTACTCATAACGCGCGCACGCAAATGAGTTTAGACTCACCCCTGAACTACGGAAAAGTGTCAATTTAAGAGGTCGTCTCGTTTTGTTGCGATTACATGAACACGCTTGGCAAGTTTCAGCCATTGCCGCCATGTCTCCGCTTTTATATATATATATATATATATATATATATATATATATATATATACTTACTGAAGAAAATAGACAAAGAGACGCCCTATCGACTCTCGTAATCAGTTGTAATAAGCTCGTAATAAGTTCACGTGCAACGTGATGCCAAACAGGCTCATAAAAGAGGTTTTTAGTTTGACGTTTTTGTGGTCCGCTCCGCTCCGGGAGCACCCGCGAAGCCGCAGCGGAGCGGCGGCCGATTTTCCTCTTTTAGTTATTCGTTGCCAGCAGCGAAGCGCACCTTTTGCAGTTGCAGCGCCCTCTGGTCGTTTTCATCGTCGGTAAATAAGATAAAAAAACTTTTTTTCACGTATACAAAGCCAAACAATAACGTATAAATGATCTTTTCATGAAGTATTTAGATATCGACTTTCAATGCATTAACCGCCTATTTTTTGACAAAGAAGCAAGCTCTGACTTGATAGTAGCCACTCAAAAGCCAGCAAGGTTTCGTTCCAGATGCATTGCAAGCATTCATTGTATGTTGTTTGCACATTTTACGCGTGTGTGGTGGCGGCGTTTTTATTTTTCACCGTTGAAACTGTGTTTTCGCGGCTTGCACTGGGCAGGTGACAGCGAAGCTGCAGCACTCGCGGAGAGCGTGCCGTCTCCGGAGGAAGCCATCTTGAAATGAGCAAAGTTGCTGCACGCACGAGAGAGGGCGCGCGGGTTGTCGCCCTTCCGCTTGCAAAAACGGCAGCGACGCACCGCGCTTTGCTTAGGCTGCTCGTAAGCGGACCGTATCCCCCGCTCCGGTAACCCACTTAAGGCTTTAGCGGAGGGCGCATGCGCACTCGCGTTCCCGCTCCGCTTAGATGCTAAGCGGAGCGTAAAAACGTCAAACTAAAAACCTCAAAGGGTGTGCCACATTCGCGCCTCCATGGCTACAGGTGCCGCTGACTGACACTCCCATGTTTAAATTCAAATATAACCCAATAAAGTGGCTGGGGGAATAGCTGCCGTGGTAGCTCAGTGATAGAGCATCGAACGCGTTATTCGAAGGCTGCAGGTTTGGTTCCTGCTCACGGCAAGTTATCTTTCACCCACTTTTCTTTCTTCCCATTTACATTACAATTGGTCTAAAGATCTCACTAATATTTATTATTGTTCCAAAACACGGGAAAACGAGCCCTTAAGTATACACTTCTTTCCCTTATATATGTATATATATATATATATATATATATATATATATATATATATATATATATATATATATATATATATATATATATATTATATATATATATATATATATATATATATATATATATATATTGTAGAGAAGCCGCCGAACACTGAAATGGGTCGAACTCTCAAGTGCTTTCTAGTGGGTCTACCCAAAAAGAACGCCGCTCGCGCGGAGAGTCCGTGCTTGGCCGTTACTGTCGCCATTTTGTATACTCGCTGTGTGCCGGCTAATAAACGCCATAACAAGTTGGTGGAGAGTGCTACGATCCCCTTCGATGCCCTTGGAACTACGCTCACGTACCCTGCAATCTACCATGTCCCACGACGCCTCTCAGCAAACGCCTCCTCCCATGCCACCCCCTTGTCCCGGTGTCCCCAGGATCCGCGATCCACCCATCTTCACGGGCGCCGATGGCACTGACGTGGAGGACTGGCTTGCCATTTACGAGCGCGTGAGCGTCCCCAACAAATGGGACGAGGACGGCAAGCTGACCAACTTGGTATTCTACCTTACGGGTGTTGCCAGTTTGTGGTACAACAACAACGCGTCCGATTTTGCCACCTGGTCCGATTTTAAGACCGCAATCATCAATGTCTTCGGCCGCCCTGCTGTTCGCAAGCTGCAAGCCGAGCAGCGCATACGTGAACGTGCTCAGGAGGCTGGTGAGTCATTCACCAGCTATATTGAAGACGTCCTGGACCTATGCAACAAATCTAATCCCACCATGTCTGAGTCTGACAAGATGCGAAACATCATGAAAGTCATTGACGATGATGCCTTCACAATTCTGCTCGCCAAAAACCCCGGCGCAGTGGCTGAGGTCATCACATTGTGCCAGAGCTACGAGGAGCTCCGCCGGCAGCGTTCGATGACCCGACGCTCCCCACCACGAGCTGCAACGCTTGCTGGCTTGGAGGCCAGTTGTGACCAAGTGGCGTTCCTGGCAGACCTAAAGTCCTTCATTCGTGAGGAAATCGCTCGTCAGTTCTCGCTCCTGCCCTTTGCCCACCAACCGGCTGTTCAACAATTGGCTACTACCCTTCTCCCTCCCATCCGTCGAGCAATTGAACTGGAAATAGCAGAGGTAATGCCTGCGTACCCCCCCCCCCCCCCCACAGCCTCCGGCTCCTGCGCCGCTGAGTTACGCGCAAGTGGTCACCAGGCCGCCCCAAGTCGTTCCAGCACCCGCTCCTCTGACCTACGCCGAAGCTGCCGCTCGACCTCCGTCCTTTGCAGCGGGTATGCCGGCTACGTATGTTGACGTAACTCCTCAGCCTCAGCTTCAGTCCACCATGCAGCCACCGTTCCGTCCATTGGCCCTTGCGACATGGGTGAGACCTACCCCGGTGAACAGATGGCACACACCCGACAACCGGTCCATCTGCTTTGCGTGCGGTTACGCTGGTCACGTGGCCCGTTATTTCCATCACGTACAGCCGGCTCCAATTCCTTCACCTGTTGCTGGCCAACTCAGCCACCCTTATCACGAAGAACCGCCGTCTATGCCACCTCGGTCTCGTCCAGGTCCATCTCGAAGATCGCCGTCTCCACGACGTCGTTCCCTGTCCCCCATGCACCCAAGTGCGGCAGCTCATGAGCGGAAAAACTAGTCGTCGCAGTCCCAGAGGCAATAACTGCGACGCTATCGCATTGTGAAAGCCCTCAGAGCCGCCCACCTAATGTCATTGACGTGCTTGTGAACGGTGTTCATGCATCAGCTCTTATTGACACTGGAGCTGCGGTATCAGTTATGAACGAAAACCTTTGCCGCTTGCTTCGAAAAGTGACGATGCCGATTTCTGGGTTGTCTCTTCGTACCGCTAGCTCACATCGTATTCATCCTACAGCAGGCTGCACCGCTCGCGTTGTCGTTCAGGACGCTCTGTATGTCGCCCAATTCATCATCATTCCTGCATGCTCTCATGACGTCATCTTGGGATGGGATTTTTCTCTCCCGAAACGACGCCGTCATTCATTGTGCCGCCGCCGAAATTGAACTCTCGCCCTTCTCGCATTTGACGCCAGAAGACGGTCCCTCGACACTGAGCAAGATTCTCGGGAAAGACGATACTATAGTGCCTCCAAGCTCGACGATGGGTGTATCAGTCTACTGCACCGGTCTCTCCGACACAATTGCGCTCGTTTCGCCATCCGACCGTGCTTCCAGAAGGAAAGGGTGGCTAGTACCTTTCGCGACCGTGCAAATCACCCAGGGCAACGCCGCTATTTTCGTGACCAACCCGTCCCCGTACAGTGTTACCTTGTTTCGAGGGGAATGTCTCGGCAGAGTGGAACCAGTCGACGCCGCACAAGTCCTGGACGTACCCGAAGACTTGCGTTGTCCTGATTCGCGTACCATCAGTGCTGTTTTTACTTATATATATATATATATATATATATATATATATATATATATATATTCAAGGTCGCTGTTGCGAAGTTTGCCGAAGAAAACTGGAACCGTGGCCCGTGCCGCCACCGAGCCCTTCAGCGTTAACTTTAACGTCTGACGACCGGCGCGACCGGTACGGAAGGAGGCAGAGTGCACGCTTGCGAGTAAAAGTTTCTGCCGCTGAAGAAGGCCTTTTAAATTATATGCGAATGCTTAGGTCCTTCGGTATCGCTGTGCCGTAGAGCCAAGTTTCGCCCAGCACTGTCGAGATCAAGAAAATGGGGCATTTGAACACGCTCGACGAAACCGAGGACGATGCCCTGGGGCAGTGATAGCGGCCGCCACGATGTTTCTCGATCTAAACTTTTGATCAGCGATTTCTGACTAGGCCGCCCGTAACCGGATCTGACTAGTTAAAGTACGTGCTGTTTCAGTTCAATTAACAACTACACTTTGTTTGTCCTTCAGTTTATTATGTGTAGTGTTAGCGTTATTGCACATTATGTCGTATGCATTCGTGCATTCGCGAAATGCCCGCGTAATTAGCGAAGAAATTTTATATATATATATATATATATATATATATATATATATATATATATATATATATATATATATATATATATATATATATATATATATATATATATATATAGTATTTCTTCGCTAATTACGCGGGAATTTTGCGAATGCATACGACATAATGTGCAATAGCGCTAACACTACAAATTATAAACAACAGACAATTATACCAAGAAAGGAATGAAAGATGTCATCAGTAGTAATTGTTATGTAGCTGTGAAAAAAGAAAAGTGTACGAAAAGATTACTTGCCGCCCGAACCTTGGAATAACGCGTCCAATGCTCTCAAGTTTGGAATGCTCCCCATATGTGCACGGGGGGATGACCGCCGGCGCATGTTGGGAGAGCATCGGATGCATTATCTGAAGGGTTCGGTCTTTGCCAGTAGCAAGTTACCTTTTGGTCCCCTTTTCTTTCTTTGCATTGCAATTACTACCACGTATTTTGGGAATCGACGTTATGCGAAGCATGCGGAGAGAAGGTGACTGTGTTGTAACTTTTATTATGTTATGAATGACGCCAATTATATTGTTACCACATATGTAATTTGGGTATGTGCACCTGGGTAGCGGGAAAGAGGCAGATTAGAGAAGAGGACGTT